GCGCAAAGCTACACAGAAAAACCCTGTCTCGAAGAAAAAAAAAAAAAAAAGAATATCTTAAACAGTCTCTAAACGGAAGAAACAGGAAGTCACAATGCTGATTTGTGGAAGAGTTTTGGAAGCAGGGCTTAGGGGAGAAATAATATTATGCTTTTATGAGAGACTGAGTGACATACCCCAACTTCTTCCCAAATTGTAATGAGTGTCCTTCAGGATGTCTTGTCAGATGGACCCAGTATGACTTTGAATCATTTAGCGACTCCTTTAAGATGCTGGGCAGAGTAACCTGGAGGGATTCAGAGAAGCATGTGAAAAGCAATGAGAATACGGTATAAAACGGGCACACCCTAGGAGGCCAGGGAGTTTTGCGTCACCAGAGACCATGCCCATTTAGTACATGAACTAATTGCTCCTGCATCCCTCCAGTGCTGGCAGGTGCAGGCCCACCCTCCATTTCACCCCCAAGCTGAGTAAGAATTGGGTGTGGAGTCTGTGAAGTTCTGGTCTCAGGGTCTGGCACCACTCTGCTGAGAGGCACGAGAACCAGTGAACCATTATACAGTCAAGGGGCGGGCCAGCACGCCAGGACACACGCTAAAGTGGAGCTGGCTCAGCCGTGTCCGCTCTCACCAATGCCAAGCATTAGAGGCGTCTTCAAGCAACAAGACGAGATGCCAGAGCTGGTGCCACATCTACTGGTGAATAGTGTGACTGTCCTTATCTGTCACGGGGAAGCAGTGCGAACCGCGGCACGCGGCAGATGTGCACTGCCACTCCTGACTCAATGACATACCTCCCTTCACCAGTGGAACCCACTTCAGAATGTGGATAGGGCATGCTTACGTCATAATAATAATAATACTTCTCAGGTTCTCTGACTACAGCCAGTTTGGAGGACAGAGATGTGCAGTACTTCTGGCTCTCCTCGAACCTTCTGGGAGTGTATGAGATGTAAAAGCATCTTTTCTGTTCCTGTAGCCATCCCACTGGACAGCAGGAGTCTACAAAGCAGAGAGAATATGACAGCCACAACACTTGGAATAAAGTGACCAGCTGACCAGCTGGTTGCTAGCACTAGTCCCTCGGGTCCACCCTCGACATCCTCATCAACTTTAGTCCTTGATCTTTGCAATCTTTTTGCTTCTTCTGGAAACATATTACTTCTAACAATATGGGAAGATTGTTTTAGTGGAGCTAGTGTTGGTGTCTCTGGTTTCTGAAAGATTAAAATCTGCCCTAACACTGGCCAACCTTGCCCGGGCTCCCACATTGGTCAATGGGCTTCTAATTCATTCATTCATTCATTCATTCATTCATTCATTCATTCCATTTACTCACTAACACCTCTCCACTGCACATTTAAAGTTTTGCCTCATTTCTCCAGCCCCTGGCCACTTCTCTCTCCACAACTCCATAAGCAGACAGACTTGGTTCCTGTTTTTATGAAATTATGAACACTCTCTATTTCCATATTTTCACTTAAAGATACATGTCTCTGTTGTTTTCCAGGCTACCTTTAAGAAATGAACATCCTCTTTAACACCCCACACCCCGCTGTGCTCTTAATCCCAGTCACAGCTTTTCTCTTTCCATTTGATCCATGGGCCCTAGCTCCTCACTCAGAAAGCGTTCCCTGTGCCCCCAATCTCAATCTCTCTCTCTCTCTCTCTCTCTCTCTCTCTCTCTCTCTCTCTCTCCCCTCTCTGTGTGTGTGTTTTCTGTCTCTCTGTCTCTGTCTCTGTCTGTCTCTGTCTCTCTCTGTCTTTCTGTCTCTCTGTCTCTGTCTCTCTCTGTCTCTCTGTCTCTGTCTCTCTGTCTTTCTGTCTCTCTGTCTCTGTCTCTCTGTCTCTGTCTCTCTGTCTTTCTGTCTCTCTGTCTCTGTCTCTCTCTGTCTCTGTCTTTCTGTCTCTCTGTCTCTGTCTCTCTCTGTCTGTCTCTCTGTCTTTCTGTCTCTCTCTGTCTCTGTCTTTCTGTCTCTGTCTCTCTGTCTCTGTCTCTCTCTGTCTCTCTGTCTTTCTGTCTCTCTGTCTCTGTCTCTCTCTCTCTGTCTCTCTGTCTCTGTCTTTCTATCTCTCTGTCTCTGTCTTTCTGTCTCTCTGTCTCTGTCTCTCT